TCATGATACAGCCTCTGCTAGTCACCTTTTTGTTTAACCAGCTTAGTCTTAGCATCAGCTTCCAAGCTGGGAACATCCTCTAAAGGATTCCAACACCAGTGGAAGCTGACACAAGTACCCTGGGCCTCACCCTGGCTCCTGACCTCAAGATATTCCTTGTGCCTGCACGTGGTGGCACACACTTTTAATCCCTGTAGGCAGAGGCAGATGGATCGTACAAGGTGTGTGGGGGGTGGGGGAGTGTGGGTGTGTGGGCACACGCGCGCATGCGGTATGTTCTCTCTACTTATTAAAGCAGGAAGAATTTTTATTGCCAGTGCCATGTGCCCTCCAAGTGATGAGTGCAACTAGTTAATAGAGGGAGGTAGAGACTAGCCATGGCAGGTAATTCCTGGGAAGCTCAAACTTCCTGCTGGGTGTGCCAGTAAGTAGCCATTCTTCCTAGGTTTGGCAACTGCTGTTAAGACTATGGCAATCTACCTCTTCCCTACATTTTTAAATGCTTGATATTCTGCTACATTAGTCAGTTCCAAGCTGAAACAATCAAAACTGTCACCGCTCGAATGCACACCATATATTCAGTTTTCAGATTCAATTTTGAAAACATCAGAGAAGGAGGGATGATGCTTCTTCAGTTTCAGAAAGAATGACATATATGTCTTATGCTAGCCAGCTGCCCAACTGGTCATCAATACTTCCAATTCTACTTTGTTGGGAGCACAAAGGTCCTTTCACCACAGTTCTCCAGGAAAACCAGGAATATTAAGCACACAGGATTATCCTCTCAAAGGAATGGACACATACCTGTTCTTCCATCCAGAAAGCTGGGTATTGGAGGTGATTGACAACCTTGTGATCTGTGTGTTATCTGTTGAACCAGGCCATATCAAGTTCCTAGAACCAGGACTAGAGGTGGCTAATAATCTGAGTGACCCTTACATTACCTGTACAGCTAGGGGCTTCCCCAAGCTCCCATAACCAGGACCAAAGGTGGCCCAAATGACCTCAGCACTATCTATCTGTATGACCAAGACCAGGCCAGGCCCTTCCCTGGGCCCTTAAGCTAATTCAGGTGGCCTATCTCCAGAACACATGTTTTTGGAAGAAATGCTATGTACCCTGAGCTGAATTTCGATGTAATTATGCTTTCTTGTGTACCAGAAATTGTGTTACACCATGAAATTTTTTTCCAAATTATACTGGGTTTAAATATGCTGACAATAAACCAACTTGTATCAGACTCCCTGAAGTTTGATACAAATTGACAAAGTCAATTTGAACTGAATTTTCATTCTCACTTTTTTTTTTTGTTTTTTTTGGGGGGGGGTTTCGAGACAGGGTTTCTCTGTATTGTTTTGGAGGCTGTCCTGGAACTTGCTCTGCAGACCAGGCTGGCCTCGAACTCACAGAGATCTGCCTGCCTCTGCCTCCCTAGTGCTGGGATTAAAGGCGTGCGCCACCAACGCCCGACTCCTTAAATTCTTGTTAAGGCCTCTACTGGTCACCTAGAACTCCAGCTGGCAGAGTTACTGAGTATCACTGGACTGTTCTAGAACATCTTGTCTGTGAGATGCTAGTGTGCTACCTTTGCATGTTAGCATTTACTCTGCACCTGGAAAGCCCAATTATTAAAGTATCCATCACCTGAGAAACTTTCATGTGAGACGAGTGTCAAGAATGTCTGTGGTTTAATTCAGGTGTTGATACTGAGAAATCCAGACTCTGAGACCAGCAGCTTTCTCAGAGCAGTAGGACACCAGTGTTGAGTGTCTCCGGTTTCTGTGCTATCCCTGCAGCCTAGCACTGCATGACACATCAGGATGCTTCTGTCACATCCTGCCACTCATGGGGCCTAGGAAGTTCTGCTCCCTGGTCCTCTTCTTCCTCTGAGTGGGGTTTATTAGCAGGAGCCCAAATAACACCTCTGATGGTTACTAACGAGACTAAGACCATGCTGGTTTCCTATCAGAGTGACTCCTATAAGTGGCAAAGAATTCTGCTGCAACAGGCACAAAATGCCTTTCTATGTAGTGAAGAAGGTGGGGACCTTTGACAAGGCGGAAACTCCGGCCTCTGACAGTGTCCCTAGCCTTTCCCGCCTGTGGATTTACCAGCCTAGCCAGTCAGTGAATAGTTTCTGAGAATCCAAAGAATCCCTAGCCCAGCTAAGACAACAGGGTGTTTAGTACGTTCTTACCATGTACTCATACTAACATTTTCTGTATTAAAGAATTGCCTGTAAGATTATGTTTAGACCTCAGAATAAACACCCTCCACCAAAAACTGCACTTTCCCACATCTGAATTCTATATACTAAAACCAAGATATGATATATTTGCTGATATGTTAACAGCTATGCCGTAAAAATAATATGTACTTAGAATAGATTTTCATATCTATCTATTTTATCTATATATACATATATAGATGGTTTTTTCTTCAATAATGTTCCAGAGTGAGAAACATACACACACACATATATGTATATATGTGTTTGCCAGATAATTTAAGATACTGAGCGTGGTCTGAGTTTCATTTCTATAGCACAGTGCTGCTCTAAAACACTCATTTCTGACTAGAACTAACCTTCCCCTAATCTGGTTCCCACTCCCCCCACCCCAAGAATCCACACATCACAAATAAGGTTGCCTCATTGCCTATCCCCAGTAAGTTAAAGTATTTCACACAATGCAGCCATGATATGGCCCCTGTCACTCTCTTTCTCCCTGACGTCTACTGGCTGCACCCTGTCCTGTACAGTTAGCACCTGCCCTTCCCACACCCTGCTTAGAATTTGCAAAGGAAGTTCCCCATCTATCAGTAAGAAGTCTGACTCATCTTTCAACACTTCCTCCTCTCCCAGCAATTAAGGAAGAGCACTGTTCTCTTTACCCTGGCTCCTCTAGTGCCTATATATAGATATATAGATATATACCTATATATAGATATATATGCATATATATTATATATTATACCTTGTATTGGCCACATGCAAGGCAGGAATTGCTGTGTGTCACCTTCCCTGCTTTAGTTTTATTCCTTGAAGGCAAGGAGGTAGCTGATTCATAGTAAGCTGTTTGTACTTTGTAACAACTGAAAAATAATGATGGTTAGGAAAAAGATATAAAGGAATGACACAATATGAATAAACTGGGGTAATTTTAGTTACCTGTTTCTGGTGTATATTTGTATTAGCCTTACTTAGCCATTACTAGACAAGGTATCAGTTCTTCATACTTGGTACATAATCTCATTATATAATTTCTCCCATGTCTTCTTTTCCCAGTGTCCACCACTCAAACATCACCCAGTCATCCTGTCACCAAGAGATAAAGTTATAAACCTGGTGTGATGGTATAGACCTTTAATCCCAGCACTCTGGAGGCAGAGGCAGAAGGATCTCTCAGTGGTCAAAGCTAACCTGATCTACATAACAAGCGCCAAGACAGTCAGGACTACATACAGAGATCCTGTCCCCCATCCACATCCCCTGCAAAATAAGAGGACAAAAATCATAGATAAGGTTCCCCATTGCCATGGGCTCCTTGCCCTGGTGCCAGAGTCTTGACAGAATTCGATAGCAGGAACTTTGGAAGGTGACCTTGCTGTATAGTAGGCTTACTCAGGAGGAAAAGCAAGGTTTTACTATCACTGTTTCATAGTAAGGAGAAAGTACAGAAGCTGTCCTCTATTAACATTCAGTCACTCCTATAATTCACACTTTAAAGCTGCTGGAAAGGAAGACCGTCTTTAAGGCCAGCCTTAGGCCATCGCTTCCCACCACCCCATCCCCATAAGCCTCAGAGACTATACTTCTAGCTATACTGATAAAGTACCTGCCAGGAATATGTTTCGTCAAAGGATATCATAGAACCCAGGAGCCTTGAGAATGGAAGAGGTACAGTTGCCATCAAGTGCCATCAAGGCAGAAGAGGAGGCAGTCAATGGGATGGAGACATTAAAGACAAAGTGAAAACATTTCCTGAGTTACTCATCTTCTCTCTTGGGCTACCTATCTACCTTGGGTTGGTTGGCATCTTCAGAGTGAGGATTTCTACCCAGGAATCACTCCAGAAGATTCTAAGCTCACAGAATTGCTCTTTGCTTCATTTTTTATTTTAGCTTAGTGACCAGGAACTCTGGTGGAGCCAACAAGATTGGGTTTGGACCCCACCACCACCACCACTAGCAGCTGTGCAGAAGTGGATGAGTGATGTTTCTATGTACTTTCAGTTTCTCAGTATAAAACTGAGGGTAATAATGATCCCTACAAAGTTAAAAATAACTCCTAACACACCCCAGTCCTCAAGACCTGTGATTGTGTCTTCAATGGCAAATGTGGGACTTTGTATATGCGATTAGAATTGCAGGGCCTTGAGATGGAAAAATCATTCTAGATTATTTAGTCCTAATCTAATACCATGCATATCTAAATATGGAGAATATTCTTCACCATTAGTCAGAAAAAGAAGTGAACAGGGAAGAAAGGACCTAGAGATTTAATGTTGCTAACTTTGAAGACTGAGGAAGGGGCTATGAGCCAAGGAATGAAGAAGCATCTAGTAGACTAGACAATGAGAATTTTCCACTATAGCTATCAAAATCAACCATCCATGCTGACACCTAGATTTTTAGCCCAATGAGACCTGATTCTTCTGGGACTTCTAACTCATAAGATAAATACATTTGTGATCATTTTTACAACAGTAATAGGAAATTCATCTACTTACTTCATAGGGTTATTAATTAGTTGAGATCCTATGGAATAGTGTCTGCTAAATAGTATTTTAGGAATACATGTAAATGATCTACACAGAGACACAAGTACACTCGTGGTTGTTTCCCATCCTTGGCACTATTGATATGGGGACTAAATAATTCTTTGAGGAGTTGTCCTGAACATTGCTTTTTCTTTTATTTTAATTACACTTTAAATTGTGTGTGTGTGTGTGTGTGTGTGTGTGTGTGTGTGTGTGTGTGTAGGAATGTATATGCCATGACACTTGAGTGGAAGCCAGAGGACAACTCAAGGGAGTCAGTTTCCCTCCTGCCACTGTGTGGGTCATCCAGTTTGGCAGCAAGTGCCTTTATTGATTAGGTCATCGCTCCATGTTCCATGTGTTCCCAGATGTTCAACAGTATCTGTCCTGCATTTACTAGATGTCAGTAGGTCTGTCTTCCTCCTTCACTCTCCTCTTGCATGTTCTGAGTAATAGAAAAATTAATTGTTAGTCTTAAAATGAAAGTTTTCCTACCTGAGTTAAATATTGATATATGATGTTTCAGACCTCTGTGGAACCAGTGCATCTGAGTTCTAATTTATAGTTCTGTTGTCCTGGCTGTGCAGGGAAAAGAGAGCTGTGTGTGTATGTATTTATATGGGTATACACATATATGAGTACACACACAGATAAACACACACATGATAAATATGCAAGTTTGTTAGCTATTCAGTAATTTTCCTTACACAGCCAACCATTATATTATACAGATCAATTTAACTCTCCAAAGGGTTGAGGGAGATTCTACAAAGTTCTTGGTGTACCACAGGTCTACTATCTGTTAGACCAAAGGTGACAACATGATTGAAGTATTGAGAAATAAGATGTTTCAAGACACATGGGATATTTTCAATACAGAAGCTTGAAATGCTGGAAGAAATAGCTATCATAGATACTGTCTCAGGGGTAAAGACACTCACTGCAAGCCTGACAACCTAAGTTTGATACCTGAAACTCTCATGGGGGATTAAGAGAATCAGCTCCTGCAAGTCATCCTCTGAGTCCATGCTTATGCCACAACATGCCTATGTATGCATTCACACACACACACACACACACACACACACACACACACACACACACACACACAAATAAATAAGTGTAGTAATAAAACTTTAAAAAGCTGATTAAATGATATTTGTTAGATGATGAATAAAATAGATGAGCATTTACTCTACAGCACGTGATGATGAGAGTAGTCAGAAAATAGAAAGAGAATCAGACATTGGAAGAAAGAACTGAGCAGTTTGAGCCTCCTGATTTCTGGGACTCCTTACAAGAGAACACTACAAATATTTCCCTGATTCCACAACAATATTTTTCTCTATATATCTGTGCATATTATGTATTTATCAGTGTGAAAACTTCTGAATATCATAATTTTTAAACAAGGAAAGAAATCTGTATCATTGCAATTACAAACATCTAATTTTTAAGGCAATGATCTCTATTATTCTAAGATTCTACTGTTTTGGAAATTGGAATAATTTATATTTGGTTCAAGAGAATGAAGTGTGAATGAGTAGATGGGGATTTGAGTTTGTAACCAAGACTCCTCATAGACATCACTTATACTAAACTGTTACTTGGTACTTATTGCACCTGTGTTAATGAGGACCCAAGGTACTGCTTGAGATACTGAATGCTCTCTTCTTGGGCACACTCCATATTGAAGGCTCTCCGGATGGCTGAAAGCTTGCTATGTGTGTATTTACTTGTATTTCCCATGCAATTCCACCATTTGTATTTGGAATCTATATTGCTGGTACTTTGTATGAGTGTGTAAATGTCACTGGGAGCAGAGAGGTGCAGCCCAAATCCCCTCCCTGCCCTCCTTGCAGACTTTGAAGGCCATCCTGGATGTCTAACTGTCATACTGAGAGGGCTGTGTAGGTAAGTTACACTTAAAGCAGATGGGTTACACTGATGGCTTTAAAGGCCTGGATTGCTTGGGCACTGCCTGTAATCATTGTTCTGTAGCTCAGATTGAGAGTATTGTTCTATGATAGAACGCTGAAGGGTTCTTATGGGTATGGTAGAATGCAGATGGGGAGTATCTCCAAGGAAAACTAATTCTGTTGTCCTGGCTGTGCAGGGAAAAGAGGGCTGGTGCTATGCATGATGGGATCAATGACAGGACCTACGACTCCTGCTTTTTCTCAATGCTTGAATCAGGAAATGCATGTCACCACATAAAGCCCTAACTCCACTCAGGGAGCTTTCTGGTTGCCACTGGTGCAAACTTCTCAGTTCCCCTGGCTCTCTGTTGTCAGGGACTGGGAAGTGGGTGAGTCCTTAGAGACAGCAATTACACTTCATGAGAGTTGAGAGGAGCAAAGTAGGAGAAGTGCCTCTTTGAAGAAATCTGCCCTTTCCAGCTAAAACATCCATTGCCCTAAACAGAAAATAACAACAATGAAAATAAAAGGTTTATACAGGGTTAGGCACTTAACATTTAACTTATCCAGAGGTTCTAAAGAAGCTGGAGTCAACCAAGAAAATGAAATATCTTTAAATAGTGTCATTGGGCCTAGCCCACCTTAAATTGATAATGTTCCCTTTTTTCTAGTTAGCCCATGGTTATCAAGAAGAAAATAGAAAGCAATGTGTGGTACCACCTCCTTTGGCAATAATGAACAAACAGGTTTTATAATCACCTTCTTTTGGAACATCCTTATCTAAATTTATTCTTCTCTGTCAGGGCTGTTTCTTCCTTATTTTGTACACTGGTGTCAGATCTCAGCTTGTAATTCAAAGCCAACACACTGACCATTGAGTAACACTCATGCTCTGTGCAGGGAAAAATGCCAGCCTTATTCTATGGTCAGCAGCAATGAATCCAGTAAGTTATAAGAACCACTGACAATGTTAGAGAAAGAAAATGAACTACATGATGCTGGCTTGTTTTTTCCTCTCAAAATCCCAGTAAAACAAGGAAGACAGAATAATCCAAAGAGGAAGACTTTCTTTGACTGTGTCAGAACGTTCATGGTATCTACTCACATACTGGTGATAGCCTCTGGGGACATCATGGGGTTCCTGTGTCAGCTGCTTTCGGGTGATTGTGATCAAGATACCTGAGGAAAAAAACTTCAGGGAAGAAAGGTTTAGTTTAACAATGATAACAGAGATTCCAGTCAGTAGTCCTTGGCTCCACTGACTTCTAGGCTTGGGCTGAAGCAGAATGTCATGGTGGTGGTGGGAGACTGTGGAAGAGTCTGGTCATTCCATGACAGGTAGGAAGCAGATAGTGAGGAATTGGGACTACAACCTCCAGTGCTACATTTCAGTTCATCCAGCTGGACCTCTCCTTGTGAAGTTTCCAACACCTCCCAAATAGAAGCAAGTCTTCAGCACATGAGCCTGGGGAGAACATTTTATATGCAGATAACTCATGTGGGAATCATCGGTGGAGAGTTACCTTGGGACCCTCTTACCCTCACAGTGGTTTCTAGCCTTGCATGCAAAAGAAAGGAACCCTTAAGTATGTCACCCATGCTTTCTAAACACACTAGATCTGTTTTTTGCCTCTTCTACACCCCAGGCTCTTTCTCAGACTACTCTAAAGCTCTCTCTCTCTCTCTCTCTCTCTCTCTCTCTCTCTCTCTCTCTCTCTCTCTCTCTCTCTCTCTCTCTCTCTATTTAGTCCTGGATCAGGCTGGTCTCGAACTCACAGAGATCATCTCTGCCTCTTAAGTACTGGGATTAAAAGCATACACTGCCATGTCCAGTTGATTTATTTTATTTTTAATTGCGCATATATGTGTGTTACTTTATGTTGAACATATACATGTTATACCATTATACCAATGGGTTTAAAGAGGCCCTAGAGCTGGAGTTTCAGGCAGTTATGAACAATCCAGTGTGGTTGCTGGGAACTGAACTTCAGTCACTTGCAAAAGCACCTGATGAATTACTTCTCCAGTCACCTATTCTTAAAATAACAGAAATTTAGGATATTCACCAAGAATTCTGGTAACTTTAGCCCCATGTCACCTTTGCTCACACAGCATTATAAGGAATTGCAGGGTTCATAGCAAGGCTGAATCCAGTCTCAGAAAATAGATTCAGTTACTCTCCTTAAAATGTGACTTGCATATAGCCATTAACTAAGTGGTATGCAGTGTCACCTGAAGATTGACTTCTGTTTCAATAGGGTAAGCATGATACAGATACTTCCCAATCTTTCACTTTTTTACTCAAAAGCATCAACTCCAGGCACATTTGATGGTGTTGTTTTATGCGTGGACCACTTGGCTTGCTCTTCACTACAGAAGTCTGTAAGCCATGAAGGAGGATGGTGATAATGATGACTGCTTCCTCTATTGTTGCTATAATCAGCTCCTAGAGGAACTGCCTACTGTTTCCATACATTTTGAGTTTGCTCTCCTCCCAAATCAAGGAACTAAATCACTATGCCTGGAAGTCTCCAGATTTCAGCATTTCTAGGGCACTGAAAGATTTGGTTGTGAAGTTGGACAAGAGCAGTGATTTTCAAATGTGGTCCATGGTTGCTTGTCCCATATCACTTTCATCAACTAATAAACTCATTTATTAAATAAGAATTGGCCTGATGAGATAGCTCAGACGTTGAGTGCTTACTCCAAGCACCTATGTAAAAAGCTGGGTGTGGTCCTATATATGCCTGTAACCCAAGCACCGAGAGGGGAAGAGACAGGAGGATTTCTGGGGTTCCTCAGCTGCCTGCCTCACTGAAAATCATGAGTTCCAGGTGTAGAAAGAGACCTTACTTCAGAGGAACAATATGAAGAGTGACAGAGGACATCACTTGATGCCCTCCTCTGACCTCTTTACCCATGTATTCATGCATACACACACACACACACACACACACACACACTTACTTTTTTGTTTTTTTTTGAGACAGGGTTTCTCTGTGAAACAGTTGTGGCTGCCCTGGAATTCACTCTGTAGACCAGGCTGGCCTCGGATTTACAGAGATCCACCTGCCTCTGCCTCCCGAGAGCTGGGATTAAAGGCATATGCCACCACCACCTGGCCGTATACACTTACTTCTGTCTTGTCCCCACATTTCCTGCTTCATTGAACAACGAGGACAAAGAATAAATCCGTGCTTCATAGTTTAGTTTCTAACTTTAAATTACCCATCCCCCAACTCTGCTTGGCAAGCGTCTGACTATTGACAGTGCTTGACAATATCCTATTCCATGGTCTCAAGGATATCCTATATTCCTAATCCCATGATGACTTCTAGGACCACTTTATTAAATGTCTGCCCTGCTCCAACCTATTCATGGCATGGAAGATTCTGTATCTCTATCAAGTGCCATTCACTATATGAAGCTACATAAACTGTCATAACAAAATAGCCATGAACTTGGCATAATAGCAATCAATTTCTCTGGAAATAAAAGATCAAAGTGTATGTGACTTTGACAACGAACTTTCTAATTTGGGAAGAGTATGGTGTGATGGTTGATTTTGGTCACCAGCTTAACTGGATTGAGAGTCTCTTTGGAATTAATAAGGCACACCTTGGGTATATCTGTGATGGTTACAATTTACCCCCTAACATAGGCAACGTGATAGCCTGGGGGGGTGCTAGAAGAATAAGTGGAAAGTGAGGAAAAATATCATCAGCACAGCCTTTTTCTCTATGCTTCCTGGCCACCACAATTTGAGCTGAAACCTCTGGAACTGTGAACAAAATCAATCCTCTTTCCCTTAAGTCATATGTGTGAGATACTTTGTCACAGTGATGAAAGTTTAACCAGTCTAGGAATAGATGAAGAATTTCCAAATCTTCAAATCCTGGTTCCTTAACAGTTAATTCTATAATGTATCTTCTCTTACATTTTGCAACAATCATCAAGGAGAAACAAAGCCATACCTTCAACCTTTTGCTAAGTGTCCTAGTTGATCACTCTAACATTTACCTTCCACAAGACATGAGAATTATAGTGGGAACCTGTCTCCAAAAAAACAAAACAAAACAAAACAAAACAAAAACAAATAAGCAGCAAAGACACTAGAATATAATTTAGTCAAGTTCCTTGTACATTATTCTCAATTTTCCAACGGTGATGTTTATTTTTGAGTCCTCATCAGAGTCACCTGTAACACCCATATTCCTACCATCAGTTTCTTCAAGACACTCTAGAGCAATGTTTCTCAACCTGTGGGTCACAACCCCTTTGGGGCTGACTGGTCCTTTCACAGGGGTCACATATAGAAATCCTACTTATCAAATGTTTATATTACAGTTCACAACAGTAGCAAAGTTACAGTTATGAAGTAGTAACAAAAATAATTTTATGGTTGGGGTCACTGCAACACGAGGAACTGTATTAGGGGGAAAGTTGAGAATCACTGCTCTAGAACTTTCTTAACAAGGAACTCAAAACTTTTCTAGCCTCTACCCATGATCTAGATCCAAAGCCACTTTTATACCTCAGAGAACTTGTTAAACCAGTACCCCACCTTTTGGTATCAAAATCTATAATTATTCAGGGTTCTTCAGATAGACAGACCACATAAGATATGTATAATGTATGTGTATCAGAAAGGGAGGCAGATAGAAAGACATAAATAGGATGTTTGTTGTTTGAGTAATTTATTGATTGGTTCATGAGATTATATACGCTGGACAAGTTTTGTGTGACTATTCCTGAGATATGAACAAAGCCTTCCCACTCCAGATAGGCAACTGACAACAGTCCAAAGTAAGGATACTACCAAAGTCCAACCTGGTGAACCCATTAATTTACTGGGGTTACTTACAGGAGTATAGATGAGGGGTTGCATACAGAAGCAGAAACATCTCAAAGGCAGCTGTATCCCTGAAAGTTCAGTTCCAGGACAACCTCCAAAGCACTACAGAGAAACCCTATATACACACCCCCCACAGAGTATCTCTGTGTGTTTAATTTGGGGCTAAAGCAGCTGTGGGACTACCCCGGCAGGAAAGAAAATCCAGCAACATTACTTCATTTTTTTTGTTTATTTATTCTTTGAGACAGGGTTTTTCTGTGTGTCTGTCTTGGAAGTCACTCTGTATACCAGGCTGGCCTCAAACTCACAGAGATCCACCTGCACGAACCACCACTGCCTGACTGACTTTACTTTCTTAATCTCTACAATTAAACTATGTATTGCATACCAACCAGGCACCTGTAATCCCAGCACTTGATAGGTAGAACCAGGAGGATCAACAGTTCAAGGTCATCTACAGTAGCATAGAAACTTCAAGACCTGCCTGTACCCCATGAGACCCTGTCTCAAAACAGTCAGTGAGTGGAGGGGGCCAGTGGGGAGAAAGAGAAAATAAATTATGAGGCTGGGGCATCTAATACAGTTGGCAGAGTACTTTCCTATCATGCAGGAAGCCCTGGGTTCAATCCCCAGAACCTCATAAAATAAGACACAGTGGCTCACGCTGACACTTTGAAGGAAGAGGCACAAGACTCAGAGTTCAAAGTCATTCTCAGTTATATAGTGAGCTTGAGGCTAGCCTGGGCTACATAAGACTCTGTCTCAGAGAAAGGTGGGAGGGAGAGAAAGAGAGAGGTGGGAGGAGGGAGGAGAGAGAGAAAGTCTGGTATTCATATCACTATATTACTACTGAAGTAAACAAAGTCTGATGCTGGTGTTAGCTTCATTATTGCCATCTTTTGTTTTCATTGCACGTGGTGCCTTGCACCCAGGGGTAATCTAATCAGATTATTGACTTTAAGTGAACAAGTTTTTGTGACACATTATATTACCAGTGCTGACCCTGAAATCACAATCATCTTGCCTCAGTTTTCAAAAAATATACAAATAACTTTTAAAACCATTAATATGAATTTGTTTATTCAAAGTTGAAATAGATATGGGTTATTATTATTATTATAAAGAAAGGAAGATTACTTTAGTTCATGGATCTGATTCAAGTTCAAAGGCCTTTCTTTGAATTGATTTATTGCAGGGTGACCTGATATACAGTGTCTCATGGGAAGCAAAAGAATGTGTACTTATATGTATCTAATATATTTTATAACATTTAAGATAAACTTTAAAGATGAAACACTCACAATTGATAGAATGATAATTGGTTGCCTCAGTCTCTAGGCCCCAGTCTCTTGGCTTACATTTAGGAGATCCATGGCTCAAGGAGAATTTAAGACTAAAGTTCACTAACAGTAGGCACCCAGCTTCCCAGCACTTGGGAAGGAAGAATGAACGGGCCATCTTGGAGTTCTTTGTCCAAAGAAAGCAGTCTGAAAGTGTTGCTCATTTGACAGTTACTGTAACTGTTAATTTGGTTATTAGGCAGCAATATCTAGCACGTGACCTGGCCCAGCATCCAAGATTGATTGGTACCAGTGGAATGAATTAATATTTTAACTACATTTACATAAAAATTCTTATATACCAGTCACTGTTTTAATTGCTTCACAAGTCACTAAAAATTAATTTCTCACAACAACCTTATATATAGGTGTGATTATCAGCTCAATTTTACAAATGAGAAAGCTGAGGTACAGAGGTGCTGGAAAACTTGGCTAACACCATCAGAAACTAAAACTGGATTGAAATGATCCATCTGATTTCAAAGTCTGAGGACTACAGATGAATGAATAGTGCTGGAAACAGACTGTCTACAAAATGTCTCAGAAGCTTTTCGTGGACTCTCTACCACTCTGGTAGCTGACTAGGTGGTACTGGACCAAAGCTTTGGTACCTGTCTTAGTTAGGGTTTCTATTGCTGTGAGGAGACACCATGGCCACAGCATCTCTTGTAAAGGAGAACATTTAGTTGGGTGGCTTACATTTTCAGAGGTTTAGTACATTATTGTCATGGTAAGACATAGTAGTGTGCAGGCAGACAAGTTGCTGGAAAAGGAGCTGAGAATTCTGCATCTTGAACTACAGGCAACAGGGAGTTTGCCATAATGAGCATAGCTTGAGCTAGGAGATCCCAAAGCCTGTCCCCACAATGACACACTTCTTTCAAGGCCACACCTACTCCAACAAAATCACTTCCTAATAGTATCACTCCCATAAGGGGCCAATTACATTCAAACTACCACAATACCCTAGAAAACAACCTGGATCTTGATGTGAACTGTTGTTTTGATCAAGCTGCTCTCAAATGACTGATCTACTCAGAGTCAGGTATGGCATGGCCTCCTGGCATGAGCAGACTCATGACCACACCAGCAATTTACTTTATGTGTGTGTATGAGCACACACACATGTGTGTGCAAGTGTGTTCGTGTACAAAAGTGTGAAGATTGGATAATAACTTTCAACAGTTGATTCTCTTCTTTATCATACGGGTTTCAAGGACTGAGCTTGGGTTTGGTAGCAAGTACCCTTAACCAATAAGCCATCTCATCATAGACTAATTTTGGCTTTCTTCTTGGAGTATGTGTAAGTGTGTTTTCTTTGCACATAAATGGCTCTTTTAATGACTTTGGAGACCTGCCTTTATTCTATTCTTAGCATTAAAAGTATCTTAAACACCTGTCATTCCAGTAACAACAAATAAGAACACGAGAAGAATTTAACCCAGAAAATATGACCATGCCAATTGATAGTATTAAATGCAGAACTGGTTAGCCAACAGAGGATAATTGATATGAGTAGATCCATTTCCACACTTGGACACTCTCTTGGCTGTCCAGTGAGCTCTGGAAAAGGATGTGACCTCTGATCTTGGTTTAAGTAGCTCAAAGAGGATGGCAGCCACAGTTTGGAGGGAGATGCTGGAACTCTGGATACAGCTAAAAACTGGACTGGGGTGTCTAAGAAAACAAGTAGTCTGGATGCTCTGTGGTTTGTGCTGGAGCACCTGGAAGAAAGTGATACAGATACCCTAGATGGTGAGATTGATGACAAGCATATAGAACTCAGCATTGGCTGTGACTGAAAAGCTTTAGAGACATCCCAGTGAGCAGAAGGTTGAGTGTGTAAGTTAGATTAAAATGTGGTGTTAACAAAAGCTGTGGGCCAGGTAAGATAACCACAAAGGTGAATGAAGAGGTGGAAAGTATGAAAGGAGAGAAGAGGAGAAGAAAGGAGATGGGGTATGTGAACCCTGGACCCAGGCTCAATATTTAGACCTCTCCCTGTTCCACTGTCCTCTGCTGTCTTATTTCCAAAGTTCTCTGACTCTATTCCAGAGCTGGCATGTGGCCTGACACCTAACATGCTTGGCTGGAGTCCTAAGACTGTCTTGCCTCATCCTTGCCCACAGGGTTCTTGCTTCTGGCTGCTTCCTCTCCCAGCAGATAGCTGTCTGCCTGATGCTAAGCAATTTATGCCTTCATCCATCTTGGGCATCTGTACCACATGATGAGCCCAGATCCTGGTGGTCCTTTCTCACTAGGCTTATGATGGTGCCTCTCTCATGAGTTACTTCTGCTCACAAAGATTGTTTTCAGGGCCCAGGAATCACCTGATGTCACCACGACAACATAAACTGTGCACATTCCAATGTCATTTACTATCTCCAAGTGTAATATTTTATTTTGGCTTCAGGTCTAAGAATGAATCCAAATATTGTCATGGCTGAAAGAAGAGAATAGAATTAATATGGTGGACTATCTCATAAACACCACCTCTTGGCTAATGATTTTTTGATATTATATAATTACATTCCAAAAACTCCTATAAAAGAGTTTATTCCTAGTTAAAACATGTATTAGTTTTTTGTTGCTGTGACAGAATACCTTTGAAAAACCCAATTCCGTGAAGTAAGGGTTTGCTTTGTCATGGTAGGTAAAGTGGGTCTTCAGGAGCATGGGCAGGTGGTCACACTGTTGGTCACATTGTAAATGCAGTCTTGAATTTGGTAAAAATGAAACTGGTGCTCTGCTCACTTTTTTCTTTTTATTCAGTCCAGCCCCCCCCCAACACATGGAACAGTATGCCATGTTTAGGGTAGGTCCTCCCACCTAAAGTAACCGAGTCTAGAAGCTCCTCACAGACACACCAAGAGACAGTCTCCCCAGTGATTCTCGGCTCTGTCAAGTTGACAATATCAACCACCATAAGAAATGAGAAAACTTGGATTTGTCAAGGCTGAGGAACTTTTACAGACACCTTGGCAAGTGGCTGAAGTTACAGTGAGATCTCAGCCTAACAAGCTCATGAGTCCATATTCACATTGATAAGCAATAGCGAAGTCACAGTGTACTACTCGTGAAATCCTTTATCCTACCAGGCACCATATAAGGATCTGACCTCTATCTCTTACGTTCATCAGTCCTCTGTTGATATCAGTACTATTTGTTCCATTTAATCCTCCTATCAACCCTATTCCTGTTTCTACTTCACAAATGAGGAATTTAGAAAGTACCCATGCAAGAGTCAGAATTCAGAAGAACGGAAACTGGTAGTCCCCATTATTCCAATCAGCATATTTTTGTTCTTAAATTTACATATATTTAGAGTGTTCCATTTCCACAGTACAGTAAGGAATATATAAAATATTTTAAAATCAGCACAAAAGTAAAATAAAGAATTTGAGGCAAAAACAAAACAATCCAGAAAGCAGGGTACATGTCAGTGGATAGAAAAGTACCAGATATCAGGGTAAGGGAGGGTGTAGATAAGTTGACCGTCCTATTTGGGGTTTCCATTGCTGTGCAGCAACTCTTATAAAGGAAAACATTGAATTGAGATGGCAGCTTACAGTTTGAGAGGTTTCAGTTTCAGTCCAGTATCATCACGATGGGGAGCATGGAAGCTGGGAGTATGGTGGCATGCAGGCAGACATGGTGCTGGAGAATTCTACATCTTGATCCAAAGGCAACAAGAAGTGAACTGAAACACTGGGTGTGGCTTGAGTATATATGAGACCTCAAAGCCTGCCTCCACAGTGACATACTTTCTCCAACAAAGCCACACCTCCTAATAGTGCCACTCCCTATGAGCTTATGGGGGCCAATTACATTCATACTACCACATTGACCTTATAGAATTCTTGCTGAAGACAGGCAAGGGGGCACAGACATTGCTTAGGAGTGGTTGTGGCATAATTATCCTTGGCAGGTATTATGGATAGTCTGATCCAGAATATGAGGTTTTTACTAAACTGACATAATACAGTTTTTTTTTGTTTTTTGGGTTTTTTTTTTTGTCAAAGGTGGATATTACATGTGAATACACAGAGGTGCCAACAGGAGATTCAAAATCCTGATTAACATTTGGGTAAGCAAAGAACCTTTGTTGTGTCACAGGAAAGTTAACTCCAGGAACATGCTGAGAAGTGTTATTTTACTAAAAGATGGTCATGCAGAGTAAAACCATGTCAGAGGAATTCACTCAACTCAAACACACTGTAGCACTTTCTAATGTGGCACCAATTACCAACTAAACTTTAAGAGCTGGTTAAGCAAATAAATCAACAAACTCTCTCTTCATCCTACTGAGCCTCACAAGCAAAGACTTGAACATATGGAAGATTGGAGCCTCTGCTTCTCTAAAGCCAGCAATGCTCCAGAATCTAAGACAAGGCTTTCAGGGGCTGAGCCTTTCAACATAGGGTCAAACTGCAGCCTAGAGTCCAGGAAGTAAGCTAAGGATGTGAAAAGGCTCATTTCATAATCCATCCTTTGTTTAGGAGGTGGGAGATAGAATAGTTTCCATGTTATATTATCCAGAGTAGTTGCAAATTTCCAGTATTTCAAATATACATATACTCTGTGTGTCACTGTGCATGTGTGGTGCTCAGAGGACATCTTTCCAGGTGCAATCAGTCCTCCCCTTCCACCATGTGGATCCTGGAGATGAAATTCAAGCTGTCAGACTTAGCCACAAAAGACTTAGCCACTGAGCCACCTTGCCAGTCTCTGCTCTGAAATGTCTGCCCAAATCACTCTTTTCTAAAGCTCTGCCTGGGTTTGACAAACTGCCAAAGGTACTTACTGGGCAAGAAAAACTGCTAGGGCAGCTTGAGGTGTGTGAGCTAATGCCACCTTAATTGGTTTTTGCAAATACTGACAATTGCAGAGCAAGCCTGGGACTACTGAGCCAAGTCCAATACTTGGCGACTAACATGTTCTGTCATAAAACTTTCAGTTTGACTTTGGAGTGATGTTTGAAATGTTTCCACTCTTTCTGTACAATTCTTACCTTCCCTTTGCTTTGGCCTCTAATCCCTCCAGCTGTGCTAAAAATGTCTTCACTTTTGACGCTTAGTTTTGTAGTTACCACAAAAACATAAGAAAGCACACTCCATAGACATCAGAGAAGGAAACAAAAGCTGTACTTGCAGCTCTGAGAACAATCAAAGCTGACACAGCTGCCTTCTCCCCTCTTCGAAAAGAGTTGTGTTGCCTACTCTAGGAGCCAGAAAAACAAACACTTCAGTTGTTATTCAGCAAGAAGTGTGATGACACAGAATGCTGACTGATTGTTTCCTGGGGGCCCCTGAGCTAGTATTTACTGGCTACTTACATCAGCCATCCCCTTGCCACTGTAAGTAAACTATTCAGAAAATCGGAGAACCCAGCATTGAAGGAGTGGAAAACATCCAATTTCATTTGTGCCAGAAATCACCAGATTTTTCCTTAACACATTTCTGAGGGGCTTGCATATCAGATTTCTGCTCTGTGACAGGAGCTCATTCCTCTCAAACCATCTGAAGCAATTGCTGGGCGGGTTCAACAAAAAGTTATTTCTTGCATTAAAATATTCTTTCTATAACCGTTTATGTATTGATCTTCTCTATTAAGCTATAGAGATGTACTATTCCAGAAATTATCATGTCATGCAATCATCTTACATTCAAATTAAAGCCTCTTCCAGGTACTGATCTGACTAGCTAGGCCATGTCTCCATCTGGGTCATTACTGGAGTTCATCTGGGTCATTACTGGAGTCCCAGCCACTTCCCTGTTGCCTCATGTCAATGAGAAAGTCCCAGAAGCCCATGCAGAGCCAGATATTCAGCATGTTCACAAATCCTTTGTCAATCAGTGATGCTTATTACACTGAAATGTTCGTGGCTTCCTGCCCTTCTAGATCCCTCTGGGAATACTGTGAGAGTGCAAGCTGCTGATGCCACAGTCATGGAACCCTGAGGTCCCTCCTAGGGTACTGTTTTCCCTTTATTCTAAAAAGCAGCACGCTTCAGACCAGGAGATACACCAGTGGATAAAGTAAATGCTACCAAGCCTGGCAACCTAAGTTTAGTCCCTTGGACTGACAGAGTGGTAGAAGAGATCTGACTTTTGCAAATAGTCCATGACCCTACACACACACACACACACACACACACACACACACACACACACACACACACACTTTAAAAAATGAAAGCAGCACTTTTCTCTCTAGCCCACTACTTGAAACCGTTTCCTCTAAACCTTTTTTAAAGGCAGAAGAAACCTTTGTCACCACACTTCTCCAAACCCACCCCAGCAATTGGATTCAGTGTCTGATATTAATGGACTGAAATGGCCTTGGGTAGAAGGGAAGACAAGAAAGGGGAATTCAGGAAGACCAAGTAGTAGCCACCACACCTAATTGTCCTGATTTGGATCTCACAGGTCAATGAGTTTGCATCCCTGGTCTCCAGTTGATGGAGCTCTTTTGTTAGTCCCTCAGGTGGTGGAGGTGGGTCATTGGTGGTGAGACCCCTATGAGGTTTTTTGTTTGTTTGTTTGGTTGGTTGGTTTTGGTTTTTCGAGACAGGGTTTCTCTGTATTGCTTTGGAGCCTGTCCTGGAACTCGCTCTGTAGACCAGGCTAGCCTCTGCCTCCTAAGTACTGGGATTAAAGGAGTGCACCACCAATGTCCAGCGACACCCTTAAGCGTTATGCCCTGGCCTCATTTCCTGTCTTGTGTTAGTCGTGGTTCTCTAGAGGTACAAAACTTGTAGAATTAATATATATAATAATGAACACACACACACACAGAGTGGGATTTATTAGAATGGCTTACAGACTGAGATTCAGCTAATCCAACAATGGCTGTCCATGTATAGAAGGCTCAAGAATCCAGTTGTTGGGGGCTGGAGAGATGGTTCAGAGGTTAACAGCACCTACTACTGCTCTTCTAGAGGTCCTGAGTTCAGGTTCCAACAATCACATGGTGGCTCACAAACATCTATAATGAGATCTGGTGCTCTATCAACATGCTAGCAAACATGCGGACAGAACACTTTGTGTTAAGAGAAGCTTTTCCTTTGAGATGAGCCTTCCCGCCCGCCTGGTTCTAGATCTGCATCAGTCCCAAATAAACACACAGGAGGCTATATTAATTATGAAGCTGTTGGTCTTGCTTGTTTCTTACTGGCTAGCTCTGACTTAAGTAATTACCCCATAATTGTTAATCTAAGTATGTCTCTTACCGGAGAGGTTTCCGGGCTTCCTACCCCAATGGCGTTACATCTCGACTCTCCTGTGTTTCTCCTTCCCAGAGTTCTCCTGGACTCCTAGTCCCTCCTATCTTGGTTTCCTATAGGCTCAACAGTACTTTATTGACAAATGCACAGGACTTCCCCCAACAACTTTGTAAATAATAAACAAACAAATAAATAAAATTAAAACAAATAATCCAGTTGTTCTTTAGTCAATGAGGCCAGATGTCTCAGCTGGTACTAAGATAAAAATATAGTCATATCTAGATAAAGACAGGTAGCAGATTGGAGTTAGGGTATAGTTCATTGTTCTGTGAAGGACTTAGGTTGAAGATGGTATCCATTTCCTCTCCAGACATTAGCTCTCTTACAGTTTTAGAGATACAATCTATTATCATCATGATGGGAAGTATGACAGTATGCAGGCAGATGTGGTGCTGGAATAAATAGCTGAGAGTCCTACGTCATGTAGGTAACAGGAAGTTAACTTAGACACTTGGGCATAGAAAATTCAAAGCCCTACCCCACAATGACTTTCTCCATCAGGGCCATACCTACTCTAATAAAGCCACACTTCCTAATAGTGCCACTCCCTATGAGATTATGGGGCCAATTACATTCAAACTACCACAGTTGCATATGATAGAACCCTACCAATTTAGACTAATTGGAGGAAAGGCTAATGGAATTAGTGAAGTCAAGCAGATTTAGTTTCGAAATTATGCTAAGCCAGAGTTGCTAAGTAGAAGGACATCTTGAAAATGATCACTAAGAAACTACTTAATTGTTGTATAAATTATTTGCATGTTACATAAGTAATCTTTGACCTCAATTTGATCTTCAGGAGAATTTCTTGCCTAGAAGCCTTTTTATTAGCTCAAAAGAACACCACAAATTGAGCCCGGTGTGATTATTACAAACTACAAATTACAAGGTTTCAAGTTAATGAGCTTTTTGTGCTACTAGGATTATAGGGTCTCAGAAACAGAAGGAATCTCAGTGGGCACTGATTCAATTTTCTGTCTACTTTGAGAAGTCTTTGTTTGAATTTTTCTGAGCCAGAAATATGTATATGAAGGCACAACATTGTACATTTAAAACTTGCTCCAGAAAAATGCATATCAAAGGGGAAAAAGTTCATATTATAAACTCTATAAACTCCATACTCTGAATATACATGATTTTTAAATGAATAAAAGTAAGTGTTTCATTTGGTAAAACTGTTAAAAACAAGTGTTTGCCTAGTGTTTGTGTTGATAGACCCCTCATATATGAAGAAAGTTATCTAAGAACTGTTGTTTCTTACTCCCAGGGACCTGCCCATGACTTGCACCATCTATAACAGAAACCAGGTTAACTCCAGCTTACAAACTGGATAGTTTCACCACAAAAAGTGAAGGAAAGAGTACTGTCTTGACACACAGCATTAC